CAGATCTTCATCGATGGCGACTTCCACCTCTCTTCAGTCCATCTCTTCTCTCCGGCTCACCGATCAGAGGTTCGGCGGCTCCTCTTCCCAAACCCAGAAGCTTTTATCTTCCAATCTGGCATATTCACAGTCATTTTCTTCCGATCACCTCAAAATCTCATCCACCCACCGAAGAAGTTTCCCGGCCACAAGAAGCTCCAAGCAGGTGGCGACCACCGCTTTCTTCTTCAACAAACCCAAGGCCTCTGCTCCAGATGCTTCTAGACCCAGTAAGTATTATTCCTTCAATCTTTAGTCGAATTTATCCCATTAAACCGAGTTTTTCTCTAAATCTTTACTCTTTGAATTTGTGATCCAGCTAAAGTTCAAGAACTCCACGTCTATGAAATCAACGAGAAAGACAGGGGAAGCCCTGCAATCCTCAAACTTAGTCAGAAACCCGTGAACTCTCTGGGCGACCTTGTTCCTTTCAGCAACAAGGTCTACTCCGGTGACCTGCAGAAAAGGCTAGGCGTCACGGCCGGAATATGCATTCTGATCCAGCACAAACCGGAGAAGAAGGGTGACCGATATGAGGCCGTTTTCAGCTTCTACTTCGGCGACTATGGACACATATCCGTCCAAGGAGCGTACTTGACCTACGAGGATACTTACCTGGCCGTCACCGGCGGGTCTGGGATCTTTGAGGGGGTGTACGGACAGGTGAAGCTGCAGCAGCTTGTTTTCCCTTACAAGCTGTTTTACACGTTTTATTTGAAGGGGATACCAGATTTGCCTGCTGAGCTTCTTGGGACGCCGGTGCCTCCATCGCCCAGCGTGGAGCCGTCTCCGGCAGCTAAGGCTACTGAGCCTCATGGGACCATCCCCAACTTCACCGACTAATAATCAAGAAAATCACTGCTGCCCGGGAGCTTTTCATTTGTATCTTGCGTTTTCTTAGAGCCCTTAGATGCAAATTCAACGGTGTCCAAAATTCCATTTTCATGTAGAAAATCATCGGTGTCTCATTAAGTTTCAAAGGCATATGTAGTAAGTCATGACGGGTCCAGTGTAAAAGTTATGGTATGATTGCGGCCAACTGTTTCAACTTTCAATTCTAGATTTCGTGGTGGAATAAATAATTGCAATTCATGTTACTAACAGTGTAGTTCATCAGATTAAGCTAGTAAAATCAATTAAAACAGTATAAGATATACTTATAATGCTACATCGGAGAATTATAAGATTTATCAATAATAAATTGTTAAATGGGTAAATATCTAAAATGATACATGTAGTGTTTTAAATAAAAAAATAATCATATATAACAAATAATATATTATAACTATTAATTTATAATAATAGTAATATTAAGAAATGTTATTTTTTAAAAAAATTATGTATTATAATTTAAATTATATATTAAAAATGTAATTTATTTTATAAATTTATTAAAATAATTTTATTAAAAATATTTTAATAAATTCATAAGATTCTCACTCTTCGCATCTCCTCTTCATTACTTTAATTCCTCTTGATCTTACCTCTTTATTTAATAAACTAAATTTTAAAGCCCGCGCGTTCCCACCGGATTATTTAAAATTTTTTTGTTAGTACTATATAATTACTTTTATAGTAATTTTTATGATAAAATTATTTTAAGATATTATAGTTATTTTTATTCATTGAATATCAAGCTAAATTTTTTGATAGGGTTAATTGTTTTAATATTTATTTTTTTTATAATTTTAAAATTTAAATAACATTATATTTTTTTGACAATTATTTTATACTTGTAGATGCAATAGGACTTTAAACTTTTTATTTGGGTATTTGTATTAAGTAAAAATCCAAACCCATGAAACTTTTTGTTTATATTGTGTAATTATTTTTGTACTAATTTTTATGATGCTTTGTTTTTTTATTTGATACATCCGGTGATGATTCCACTCCCAACCTCTTGGTCTCTCACCTATTTGAATTTGAGATCATAGATGTGAAAACCCAACTTGAGCCTCTATATTCGCATTCTACAATGCAATTGTTTTAAAAGGAGGTATTAATGGTAGTTCATATATTTTCTTGAGTTCTATGGTGTAATTGTTTTAAAAGGTGCTTGTTTTGATCTATAAGAGTTGTATTAATAGGATGTAACATGCTTGCTTATGATGTTTTGTTTTCATCATCTTATACAAAGAAAAATGATAACACTTTTGCTAAAAGTTCACTGGTAGTTCATTGTGTTTCATCTTTAATTTATAATCATTTTACATATTTAATTCACTTGAACCTTATTGATCAGTATGAAATGATAAAAAAGAAGAAAATTTAGCCTTTTAACATTCTTAATGTTATGAAATATACTAATTGTTAATAGAAATATTATCTTTTCATTTTCTACTATTTTATTTTGGCAAATTTCTTATTTGGTTAAATATCTGGTTTGGTCCCTTAACTTTCATTTTTTAACCAAATTTACCCTCAAACTTGAAAAAATACTAAAAAAATCCCTAAACTTCAATTTTTGGGACCAATTTCGTTCTTCTGTCGACAAAAGTGACAAATGGCACAATAAGTTGCCACGAAATCAATTTTTGTTTTAAATCTTTAATGACGTGGAAAATAACTTACCCACCATGGCATTTTTGTTGTCCGTGTTAGATTCTCGCCACTTCAACCCTTTTCTTTAAGTGGGGCCCACCTAAAAAATTTCTATATTTTCAAGGGTTTTGGTTCAGAGTAAGTTGAAACTTTCTACCATTTTCTCTTTCCTTATTCTAGACTTTCTCGCCTTTTTCTCTTGTCTGCTAAACCCTAGATTTGGGTGTCTTGCTTCTATCTTCTTTAAACAAAATCAATAATGAGAGATTGATGGAGGGTTATTCGTCGCAAAGTGTGGATTTGATTGGATCTTCAGATTACAAATGCAATTGTGGGTTGGCTCTTGTAGTTTGAACCTCATTTACTTACCAAAACATGGGAATGGGGTTTCATTTGTCTAAAGAAGACAGTAAGTTAACATTTTTTTTTTTTTTTTGAGTTCCCTTTCTGGTTCTAATAGTTTGTTTCTCATTAGGTTTAACACTATTTGGTATTAGAGACAAGGCCCATATTTCCATTTTCTACATGGTAAGGATAGGATCGAGGGAAGAGCTAGGGAGTTGTTGTTGATTTTGAAGGATAAGGAACCAAGGAATCTGAAGGAGAAAGAAAATTTTCAGAAGGAAAATGGTGAGTTAAAGTTGGAAAAGGAGAAAATAATTGAGGAAAATAATGATTTGATGGAAGAGAATGCAAAATTGTTATAGGAAAATGATCAACTAAAGAAGCAAAGTGGATTAATGAATAGGAAGATAAAGCATTTAGAGAAAAGAGTTAAGAAGGTGGAGATGAAGAGCTCTCGGGCAATCATGATCAGTCAAGTTATCTGCTTGGATTTTTTTTTTCTTCTCATTGTTGTGATTGTTAGTTTATTTTCTATGGTTAAAAGCATAAGGCATTAGGTGTATTGATAATGCAATGTTAATAATGTGAATTCAGTTGTATCTAGAATTTTTGCAACGTAATGGCACATTTCTAGCTTATTCTGAGCATTGGAACTTTCTTCTCTTCTCTAAGTCTTGTATAAATTATGGGCAAGTTAATGACACAATTGTAGTTGTTTCTAGGCATTTGAATCTTATTGTCTAAGTCTTGTGAAAACACAAACTTCTAGGCATGTCCTAGCTGATTCTAGCCATTTGAACATTCTTTTCTAAGTCAGGTGCAAATTCAGGGCATTTGAACATTGTTTTCTAACTCCTATGCGGTATGTCCCAAAGAGCAAGAGCATGAAATTTATAAAATTCAGCCAATAACATGTAATCTTAGTAAGAGAACACAAAATCCACTCTACCCATTAACATATTATACCAAAAAATACAAACTGAGTAGCACAATGTCCATTAAACTACAAATTAGACCATAATTTTCTAAAATGTAGACAAAATAACACAACAAACAGGGAAAATACACCATCACTTTGCAAGCTTAATGGCATCAAAATCAAACTGTAGGCAATAGGTTCATTTTTTGAGAATAGTTCACTCCAATTTTTCTTCACTTTTTGTTCCTAGCAGCTTCCTTATCTTTCTTTCTCTGTTGCACTTATGCCTCCAACTGCCTTGCAGTCACAAATTGCCCACCACTTCCAAATGTAGCACTTGAACTCCTTTCACCCTATAACAACTTTATTGATTAATGGAATTAACTTACAAATTATATGGATATGAATTCTATTAACAAACCCATAGTAACACTAATCTTACCTTAACATATTTAATAAACCATAGTATTACTTAAAACAACAAATTTTACATTAATCCAAAACGATTAAACTTACCTTTTTCTTTTGCCTTTTTATAGGTAACTTCTCTCTTTTTTTATGTTGTTGGCCATCCACTTGAGGTGAATTATGGACAGGGGTTGAATCACTGACAAGATTTGGATTCACAACTTAACTTAATGGAATTTGAGAGTCCTAAAAAATATAATATATAATATGTTAAAATAACAAACTATTTTATGGGCTTAAATGTAATATCTACCCTCGAACTCACTACAATATCATTATCGGCAACATTATTTTGGGGATCTTCAAAGGGGACATAGGGGACCTATTGTGGGCCTTTTACAACAGGAACTTGCTCTGCACATGCAATGGCACTTTCTTGAACTGGGGCCTGCAACAATATTTAAAAAAGGGCCTCAAGTAAATCACATATCACATTAAATAGTCATTTAATATTTTGTATATATTAAACTAACACTAACAGTTGTGGGCCTTTTTGCTTTGCATGTTCTTGAATTGTGATCTCTTTGGAAACACTTTTAATAGGTCATTTTTCTCCCTTTTCTACTCATGTTACACTGCCCTTCCCATTCTTCTAACACTCTCTTCTTTTTTGGCCTTCTTGGCATTTTTCTCACTAGAGGACGTTGAATAGGTGGCATTCCAGTTTCTCTCCATTGATTCATCCCTTCAACTGTAGGCAATGCATATTCACAAGTAGCTTTAAACATATCCTTCTTATACCAATGTGATACAAAATCTTCCACTCTAAGCTTCTTGGCATTAATAGCTTTTATGGCGTGCCTATAAGGGATTCCAATGAGATCCCATTCTCTGCATGTACATTTTCTGTTATCTACATCAACCACATATACATCATGTCCATTTTCTTGAACTTCATAATGAGTACTTCCAAGCCAAAGCAATTTGCATCTTCTACTTCAACTTGTATTTACAACAAGTCTCTCCCATGTTCTTGGACCAAAATCATCTACAAACTTCCTATCTCCAAATTCTCGCCTAGTAATTGTTCTTTTCCCACAATAGGACCTTAAATCTTATTGTAGTGAAATAATAGCTTTATGCCTTGAATCCACCAATAATCCATTAAAAACTTCACACATGTTATTATCCACTACATCTGACTTTGTCTCTCTTTGGAAGAAAGCCTAACACCAGTGCTTTGGGTTTGTATTCAACATGGTTTCTCTTGCAGCAGGTTTCGACTTTGCTAACTCATCCATAGCTTTGTTAAACTCAACCATGGTTCTTGCCTTGACACATTTCCAGAAAATTTTTTGCACTTCCTTGCTCTTGTGATGCTTCCTGAAATTAATGTACTTGTGCCTAGCACAAAATCTGTGTTCAGCATATGACAACAAATTTGCTACTGCATGAATAAGGCCTTGCAACATCCCATGCAATGTAAAATTGTTAATAACAGAATTGGTATGATTATCCAAAGTAAAAAGACTAAATTGGTCATCTTAAACTAAGTACAAGGACTAACTTGGTCCTTTATACAATTCATTCTCTTACCTTTTGCTCGTCAGATATAATGCAAAAATTCTTTCCATCTCCCATTAGTAAACCTTTTGCCAATTCTTCAAGAAACCATTCCTATGTCTCCCTTGTCTCAACCTCCACAACAACCGATGCAATGGGAAACATTTGCTCATTTGCATCTCTTCCAACGGTAGTAAGCAATTCTCCTTTATGTGCACCTTTAAGAAATGCACCGTCAACTCCTATTATATGTCTGCATCCAGATATGAATCCCTTCTTTAATGCACTAAAATAGACATACATCCTCAAGAAAACAGGATTCATATCTGTTGTTGGTCTAGCGCGTTCAAGCACAATATTTGCTTCAAGATCTTTTGACCTTAATTCATTTGTAGAGTCAAATAACACTTTGTATTCAGCCTCAACAAAGCAATCAAAGGTCTTTTTCAACTTCATCTTTGTCTTCTTACATTGCACAAGTGTTAACTCCACACCTAAATCATTCTTAATTTCAATAAAAATGTCGTCTTTATTGAAACATAGACTAGCTACTTCTTTTGTCTTTACCAAATGCTGGGCAGCAATAGAAGATGTGCAAACTTTGTTGGTAACATTCACTATACATGTAAGATCAAGACAAAAGGTTTTTACCATCCAAGACTCAGTTGGATTGTCAAATGCCAATAGTATCCTCCACTTACAGTTTTAATCATTACATGCTGCCTTCATCCTTTTACTGTCATTCTTTTTCCATGTAATCTCTCTCCTTTGTTTGATGCTCAATTGATCCACAGCCTTCTTAAATTGTTTCTTGTTCAAAAATATCATGCCAAGCTCAATTTTTGGAATGCCGTCAACTTCTTTAAACACTTTGTGTCTAGCTTTCCTCCTCCTACCATGATCTGCTTCCTCATCCTTTTCATTACTTGTGGAGATGTAACTCACTTCATCATTAGATTGTATTTCTCCAGCATCCTCATCTTGGTCTCCTACATCTACATTACCTACAATATGAAATTAACACCAAATATGAATAAAGAAAATATAAATAGAGCAAATTAACTCCACATAAATGACATAATTTATTGGCACAATACAATACCTGTTGCTGCAAAACTAGAAGCAACCCCAATTTGATTTGCTCTAAAATTCCTTAGATTATCCCTTGCTAGAACAGTCTCATCATCATCATTATCAGACCACTCAGGGACATCTTCAAGGCCACCTTCATACTAAGCTTCCTTAACCTCTTCACATCCATCAATTTGTACCCCAGCATCATTTTGGACCTCTTCTTCTTCGCCATTATTTCTTTCACCAACATCATTACCCACCTCATCCTCATTAATCCTACTCCCACCAGCATCAGTAAACTCCCCATCAAAACCATCTTTATCACATCTACCACAAATATAGGTTCCATATGTTCACTAGGTGCTGGAAGCATCAAAACTTCCACAATCTCAGCAAAATTGGGGATATAAGACACATAAATATGAACATTCCCATTCTCCTTCAACACATTTAACACTTCCCTAACTGTATCATCATCAACAATTTGCTTCAAACCATCATATAGTGACTTGTTTGGCTAAAGATAAGAAATACTCTCCACTAACTCAACATCGTATCTACCAAATTTTACTTTCTCATAGAACTCCCACATAGTTAACAAATTAGGATTCACTTTCCATCTCTCACATTCCCCATCAACATATTGAAGGTTTCCATTGTTATCACGTATAAGAGTACCACCAATATGTATAAGCATTGGTAGGAAATCACCATTATTTTCTTCAATTTGCATTCAATTCATAACCACAGTTTAGTTCATTAATTATTTTATAATAAATTAATATATATTTCAATTCAATAGTGATAGAATCATAGTTCAGTATGTATAGACAACGAATGTGGAAACCAAAAGTAACTTTAAAACAAATATATAAACATCGTAGATTCCATTGTCCTCTGTTTCACTCAATGTTTCCCATATACTAACCAACCCAACCCCTGTTTCAGCATATTTTAACATGAACAACGAAGACATTGTAAGACAATCGAGCATCGAGAAAAAGAACATACCATATCCTCGATCTCCATGGACTCCAAATCTATAACTTCTGGGGGTATAACTTCTAGTTCTTTGGGGTTCTTTTGCCCAGTATGATCATCCATGTTAACCCACCTTTCTACACCAAATTGTAGAGATTCGATGGAGATGGAGATTGATGCCTGAAGCAAATTGTAAACTTTGCAAGTTTTTGGGCTTGAGATCAGAGAATGAAAGAGAAAAACAAAGGAAGAAACTCTTAGCCTTCTCGACCGAAACCCTTGAAAATATAGAAACATTTTTAGGTGGGCCCCACTTAAAGAAAAGGGTTGAAACGGCGGGAATCTAATGTGGACAAGAAAAATGCCATGGTAGGTAAGTTATTTTCCACGTCATTAAAGATTTAAAACAAGAATTGATTTTGTGGCAACTTAACATGCCATCTGGCACTTTTGTCGACAGAAGGATGAAATTAGTCCCAAAAATTAAAGTTTAGGGATTTTTTTAGTACATTTTGAATTTCGAGGGTAAATTTGGTTAAAAAATGAAAGTTGATGGACCAAATCGAGTATTTAATGTTCTTATTTTGTTCAATCCCATAGCATTATGAATAAGAAATTTTTAACATTTTAAATGTCAAAATGTCCTAATTTTTCACTTTTCACTTTTCACTTTTCACTTTTCTCTTAATCAGTAATGAAATACTCATTTTCTTTTCTTATGGTGTTCACTCACTTTTGTCTTAATACAATTTTTTTTTGCTAAAAAACTTCTCTACTTTGGGTCCAATAATTATTTATAATATTCTATTGAATATGTTATCAAGTCAGCCCAATTTGCAAAGGTAAATACTTGACTTTTTTCTCTTGATTATTTTTACATTATTTTTATATTTCCTAAAATTCTTAAAAATTTCCCTTTTTGTGAATAATTAGTTAGAAAACATCAACTAAATAAATAATGTCTACAAATAAAATATGAATTAATTCAGATTTATTTTTAAAAAACTAATTAGCCTTAAAGATAAATTATACCATTCCTTTCCATAATTTGTCACTTATTTTTACTATCAAATTTAATTTAATTTATTAGTTAGGCTACAATTTACATTTTTTTTTATCTCATTTAAAATGAAGTAGAGCGAACAAATAAATTATAACTTACATCAAGCGAGTCCCTCCTAATCCTAAGTATTCTTAATATCTATGAATCAATGTTTAGTGTTCCTCTTTTTCTTTTTCTTTTTTGGCCTTCAATGCTTTGTATTCTTAAATATTCACTTTTTTTTTTTTTAAGTATGCTTACTATTTTATGAATTAATGTTTTTCATTTTTTAAGTCTATCTTTTTCTCTTTCTTGATTTAATATACATGTAACAAAAATACATTGGTTTAATATACATCAAACAATTAAATAAAAATATATGTTGCTCACATTTAATGGAGGGATTGCAAGGATAGCTTTAGATATTGTTTTAATATATATTTATGCATTAATTTTAATTATAGTTGTTGTTGTTGTTATCATTATTATTATTAAGGATAATGATTGGTACATTCTCCGATTCAACACATTACATAACACATTTCGGTTTAACCATTAAATTTGCCTTTAGAAATTTTCTTGCCATGAATTCAAATTTGAAAATAATAATTTCTTAATGAGTATGTTATATAATATGTTGAACCGAAGTGTGTATCAATCATTTTCCTATTATTAAATATCAATTTCAAAATATGTGTTACGCAAAATAGAAATAAAGTGTATATATGTAATTCAAAATAAAAAAATGAAACTTTATTTGATTGGTATTAACATTTATAAAGATTGATGAACTAATAAAATTATCCCTCAAATTTCTCATATTTCCAATATATTCATCAAAAAACTTACTTTGCATCCTCATCATCCCATTCCGTTGAGCTTTTTTCTGTGTCCTCACCATCACATTCTTTTTTAAGCCTACATTCAATATATGTATATATATATAGATTCTATTATTCTTTCAAAAAAATATTTTTAATAAAGTAAAAAATTTTATATGAAATAAAATCAAACAAAAGTCATACAAAAGTGCATGAGGAAGTGAAATCTAAAAAGAGCTTACTAAAGAGAAGAATCCAATCAAAAGAAAAAAAAAGTGCATGAGGTGAAAAAAATTAAAAATGATAAAAATAAATAATAAATGAAAGTGTTATAATTGATGATGAATGAAATTGTAATCTTATTTTTTTATTCTCCAAAAAAATTAGGTGTCTATTCATTTTCCTTTGGTTTAATTGATTACATATGTAATAAAAACTAATAATGATAAAATAATTGAGAATATTAAGAAAAGAAGTGGAAGAGAAGAAGGTGAGAAAATAAAAAAGTAAAACCAATATTATTAATATGTACATTTATTATATTTTATTATAAAAATACTATATGTTCTGTTTTATTTTAAACAATATATATTTTTTACAATTAAAATAAAAATAATAAATTTCAGTGCATATATAGATAGATAGACAAATATGGATTTATTCTCTTAATATTTTAAAAAGACTATTAGTTACCACTATTTTTATATAAAAAAAAAAAAAGACTATAGATTGAGAATTTTAACACAAATATAATACATATATATGTGTGTGTGTGGATTTCTTTTAAAAATAAATGTAGAACCTTTTTTTGTTCTTTCTATTTGCTTTTGAGTTGTATATGGATTATTATATTTTCTTACCTTTATAGGTCCAAAGTTTTGCTCCACATCTTGCTCCTAAATTTTTACAATAGCATAACATGATATTTGTATTTCTCTAATTTTGGTGTCTCTCCCTCCTTTAGAATCTTCAAAAAATTAGGGAATATGATGAAAAATCAACCTAAATTTTGTGATAAGAAAACAAATATTAGTTAGGCATCTTAAGTATGTATTAAAACCAAATGAAGCTATATTTAAAAGAGATATAGATATATCTGAACCAAATGTTAGTTTATTGATTTAATTTAGATGAATAATGTGAGTAAGAACTTCCATGAGTTGGAAAGTATGATCATCAAGTAAGACACTTTTCACAAGTTAAAAAATATGACACTTACTTTTGGGGTTTGAATATTTTAGTTTTCTAATCTTTTTGTAGGCTTAGAAAAGGAAGTGTAAGAGTTTTAACTATTACAAATAATTTATTTGAATTTAATACGAAAATTTAGATATAATAAAATAGAAAAATAGTATTTTAATAGATAGTTGTTGAATATGAAAAGTTTTATGTACATATTAAAATTTAACTGGGTTTTTACATAAAAGAGAACATGAGAGAAACAACATCTCTTTGTCTCTTTTAATTTAATATATATATATATATATGCATGTAACAGAAAATAGTAATAAAAATGCATTTACTCCTTTTCAATGCTTCGCTTTTTCTTTTTTTTTGCAAGCAATTGTTAAATGCATACTTTAATTAATGCATAGGGTAACAATTTATATATAGATAAATAGATAGATAGGTAGATTATTTTCAATTAACAAAGCAAATACTGATTAGTAGTTCTTCTTTTCATGATTGGACATGTATAACTGCTATATTATTAATTTTTTTATTAATAAATTTATATTATAACAATTATAACAATCATAATTTGGTTCAAAACTGCGTCACTTTTGAGAGAAAAAAATAAAGAGTCTATTCATGAATAAATTTTATTTAATAATTATATAATAAATAATAAATAAATTTATATTATTATATTATATATTATATTATTATATATATAAATGCACACCCTATTTATTCTATGGAAGCTAATTACCACATGTGAGCTAATTACTTCTCAGTTTAATAGTTTAGCACACGGTTTATATTATTATTGGTCTAATTTACACAATTCTTTCTCAAGTTCATGTATAAATCACTAAATCAATTGAAAAGTGATCAGACTTTCAATGCATTAAACTCAATAATATAAACTCTTCATGCAAATAACTTTAATTGAAAGCATAAAATCACAAAATCTATATTAAATTGATTAGGTTACATCGTAGCCCTAGTATAATAAATTAATTCATAATAAAATCTGAAATCATAGTTATGAATATTCAAATATCAAGCAATAGATAAAAATTCAAGGAAAAACAAAACTCAATTTGAGGAAATCGAATTCCTTGATTTTCTATTGTTAAATCCTCTCTTTTGATTTTCACGAATACCCAAAAAAAAGCTACCACCAGCCTCCACCAAACTCTCTTAATTCTGAATTTGGATGACTATTTATAAAGTTTTAGAAATCCTAATTAAAATAGAAGTAGGATTTGAAATAGACTAGGAAACTTGAATGTTAAACGTTGAACGTATGGTGCTAGCACCTCGTGTCGACACAAAACAAAAAATAAAAAGTTTGATTCCAGACAATTAACGCATAGCATGGACTCCCAGATTATGTGTTGAAACTACACTCGTGTCGAGCTTCTGGCCTCCTTTTGCAATTTCTTTAATGATAAAATAACAGATTTGTCCTCCAGCTTTTGTACAATGAGCACTTAGATCCCAAAACTCAAGATTCAGTCATTAAGGTCCCAAAGAGGTACCTTTTTTCTTGCAATTCAGTCCCTCAACTTTCAAAAGATGTTCAATTAATCCCAAACACTCCTATTATTACGTAATCAATCATTTTCTGCACAAAAAATGAAAACCATGTAAAATCTTATAAAATTCATCTAAATATCAATAATATCAAGACAACAATTCCACATTAATATGTATACAAATTCAACTCATCACATTATATATATATATATATATATATTTTTTCTCTTAATTTGCATTTGGATATATTGGGAAGGGTAATGATAGAGAACCGTCTTGCAGAGCCATAGCTGGATATGTAAGAAACGAGAGCAGAATGAAATTTCAAGAATTCCCTTGCAGAATCCGGGTGGGGAAGGCCCATTGATGACACACAAATAAATTTTCCAAAAACACATGGAACAATTAATTTTGGCCCGGAAGTTGTTCACAGGCCCTATGCAGACACATGCAACACTTTTCCATAAAGACATGGAGAAGCTAAAGCATGGGCTAAGGCTTGCCTTAATAAAGGCTGTAGATCCCACAAACAGCTGTACTTGGGACTTGAAAAATGAACACATGAAGCTTCTACATCATACCTGTTGTGTTGAAATATTGCAGGCTATGAAAAGGAAAAGATTCATTTTGATCCTTTCTTTAGCACTTTTTCACCAAGTGAAAGAGTAAATAGTTATAGAGAAAAAGTACTTGGCATGCAAGATCTTTTTTAACTTTGTGAAATCTAGCACTCTTTAAATCAGCTACCAAACTGCAGATTAAAAAAAGGCAGTTTTTCATCAAGAATGATATTTGTGATTTGGACTGTTGGTTTTCAGGTTATGATGGGCTTATAATATACAAGTCCATTGTTTCATATGCTAATTAAGAAAATTTAAGTATAAATTTAAACAAAATATTTCAATACTAGTTAAGAACAACAATTATTCCTTTGCATGAAGTATAATAAAAACTCACAGAACCTAGCAAAGGGGATGTAGCTCAGATGGTAGAGCGCTCGCTTAGCATGCGAGAGGTACGGGGATCGATACCCCGCATCTCCAATTTTGTTTTACAATTTTTAGCAGAGAGGACCACACCTTTGCATGCATCCTTATCCATTTTTTTTTTTTTTATCTTTTTAAAATTTTTTCAAGTACATCTGAGACTGAAAGAAACAAAAAAGATTGGCATATCAAATATGGGCAAATCGAACTGCTTTCGGTCATGCATTACAACTTTTTTTTAAAAAAAAATATTTTTAAGTACATCTTAGACTGAAGGCCAGATAAAAAAGAAGATATAACAGAGATTGGCATATGAGCAAATCGAATTCGACCTGCTTTTAGTAATGGTTCAGTTTGATGCCGGTCATGTCCTGATCTTACATTGGCTGATGATTTTCACCCCCAAAAGTTTTCACAAATTTACTCCAGTAAGTACTTTTTTACTGTAATTAATAATAAGGATGGTTGTGTAAATACATGACATATATATGCAGCCAAGCTCTTGAATGATGAAAGTAAAACATGATGAATTGATGATATAGAGAGAGCAAAAGCATGCAAAGAGATGGGCAGGCATTGATGTAATTTATTAGGGTGATGGTTAAAGGCATGGCTGGGGCAAGAACAGGACGCCTGAAAATGTATGGTAGCTGCAGGCGTCTGATTGTAATTGGTCTGAAAAGGAAAATAAGGCATCCCTTTGGGTGAAACCCCAAAAACAGTAAAAAGTCAGTAGCCCCTGAAAAAAGGCCCTTCATCAGATTGTTTGTAGTGGTAGTCCAAACTCAGACACCATCAGATCAAAGAACGACTCACTCTCAGTACTAACCATACATGACTTATACAACTCATGTCATGGGTGCGAGAGGCGAGGCGAAAGAGAGTGTTTTTGCCTATCAATAAGGGCCAAAGCCAATTAGTTTTAAGTTCGAATCTTGTCTCGTATTTCGGTCCGCATGTTAAATTATACTAATTACTCGTGCAGGATTGATTGAGATAATCACACTCGTTTTCTAAAAAGGGAGCAGAGACATCGATCACTAGCTTAATGGAGTGAATATTATACTAATCACAAACAAAACTTAGAACTCCCCCTTAGAATTTTAGAACTAAAGAGTGATTTGATGACTTTCATCTTCATGTTCGTCGTCATTCTCATCGTCTTCTTCATCTTCAACCTCACAAAACTCCACGGGGTGTGGGGCGTGTCCGTCTCCAAATGCACGAACGTGATCCTTTAGGGATCTCTTGTGCTTGAAATCAGACCCACAAATGCAAAACCAGAGTTTTCCGCAGTTCTTCTCGTGAGTCCTCCAGTCCCCTCTGACGGCAAAGGGCTTACCGCATTTCCGACATCCGAATGGCTTTGCCCCGTGCTTTCTCTTGTAATGAGTCTGCAACGTCCTGAAATCCTTCAGTGGCCTTGACCTTGGATGGTGTATGTTGTTCTTGCAACCTTCAGCACAGCAGTAACATGGAAGATTCAACATTGAGAAAGCTGGTTTTGTCCCTCTTAGGGCTTCCGGACCTTTCCTATATTGTGATCCATGCCCCCACATATGCATCTAATTAAGCGTAAAACAAAAACAAAAAAATTCATCATTTACCACAGTTTAACTAAGTTGATATCCACTAAGTCACTAACCTCAAAATATTAATTTTGAAATCAAGGTTAGAACTTGGGATTCAAATGTGTGCAATAGTTAAGCAAACTAACTCATTTTCTGAAGAAAGAAAAATTGGATGGATTATTCATGACATACATGAGAATTATTAAACAAAGAGAAAAAAATAGTTATTATGAATTTAACCTGCATATTGTTGTATCTATTGAATGTTTTGCTGCAGACAGGGCAAGAAAACTGGGTCGGGCCAACAAGGATCTGAGAGGGCGAAGGAATCCAGTACTGCCCGTCAACCAGACTACTAGGGTTATTACTGGGGCTGGCTTCATAGTTTGTTGGTGGACCAATATGAAGAGCCACGGTAACACCACTGTCTTCATTAGGGTTTTTACAGTTGGGGTGGAGGTTTGAGGAGGGAGGCAATTCGGGATGTTTGGAAACGTGTTGACCCGGAGGGCCAAGGGACAAAATTATGGAATCTTCATCTACTTCTTGACCATCAGGCTCCAAACAGGTACTCCCACTGGAGGAGATGTTGTAGGTGAAGGAAGAAGATTGCATGGTGAAGTGAAAGAGTGAAAGGGATCGATTTTGGGTTTTGGTGGAGGAAGATAAGTGGACGGGGAACTGAAAGTCAATAAATAAAGCAATGTTATGTGGTATATTTGGATATGCTTTCTTTATGCATAGACTACCATGTATATGGAATCTTATTTTATTATTTAAATTGCATTAAATTATAAAATATAAATCATTTGATGAAAACAGAACTCAAATATCAAAAACCAAACTTTTATCTAATAGTTAATGTTATATAATTTGGTATAATTTAAACTATACAACACTTTTTTATATATATATTATCTATTATTCTCAATCTTTAAGATCGTTTGCAATGTGGTTCTTAACTTCTAAAATCAAGCAATTGGCTCCTAATTACTTAATCTTGTAAAACCGTAACTACGCCTCATTGACTCCTTTTGTTTAATTTAATGAATCTATTTGGCAGAAAAGAACTGCTAGTACAAAGCTTTAAAATTCCAGGGACTTGGGTAATCAATTTTTAATGATGTAAACTTTGCAAGCGACCCTCTATAGCTTGGGAGCTATTAAAAGTAATACTTACCCCTTATACGTTATAAGTAGAGGTTTTAACCATGACAAGTGGAGGAGGAAAATGAAGTAGAATGATTTTGGCGTGTTCGGGAATGGAGGAGACAAGGAAACGGCAAAGGAGGAGAGTCGGAGAGATGCATAGAATGGCGTACCATCACCAACACTAACACTTCTCTCTGCTCGATTATCGAGCTTTTTTGGTTTTTTTAGACGTGTTTTAAAAATTTTAATTAAGGATATAAGTTACATTTTTTATTAATTATTATAAAAATAAATACTGATTTTAATTATATTAACTACCTATCTACGTAATATTGCCGTTGAAAAATAAAATTAATTTTTTTTTGTTTTTTATACAAATTAATAAAGAAAAGGGCAAGAAATATACCTTTTAGAGAACCCATTTTTCTTCTCTACAATTCACTCTTTGGGTACTCATCTTCCGCCCTCAATTACTCCTTCTCTCTTTGTTGTGATCGGCAAAACAAAAAGTACTGAGAGTGATGGAGATGTGTATGTACTGTGAATAAGAAGAAAAATGGAGCATAATGTTAACTGTGCAACCGGAAGACGTGAGTTGAGTACCTCTTTCTCCTACTTTTGTCGTTAAAGTGATAGTGAAGTGATGATAAAGTTACAGGAATCTCAATTTTTATGGATCAACAGCTGCTTTCATACAGAAGCAATCAATTGATCGATAGTTCTTGTTTTCTTTCCATGAAAACTGATCAGAGGGAAAAGGAAATATATATATTATCCATGCATTGTATATATAAAAATGTGTTTCATAATTTAGATTGACAAAAAATTATTAATTTAGACAAACCACAGTATTTGAGTGTGATTTGATCTTTTCTTTTTTCACATTCAAGAGTTGTCATATAGTTGTTTGATTGAATAATTTTTTGTCTGTTCAGTTTGAACAAAAAAAAAAAAAACACTAATCACTTAAAAAAATTAATATATAAACATTAAGATGGTGCCATGTGAGATTTGGGAATGTCTCAAGGCAGGTAAAAATGATCCATACAGAATCCGGGCAAAACTGCAAAAAGAGAAATTTTCTGTTTATGATGTTTCAGTGCATGCATATACATGTCATCATGGCCATGTAAATTAAATTTGAAGATTCTCTAGCTGAAGAGGAAAATGTGAGAGTTCGTTTGTCTTTTTGCATGCATCTACTTGATCAGTTGAATGAGCTCTAGAGAAATCATCCACTTACAATCCCAATCATGAATTCTAACTACTGCAATCTATTAAAGGTATAGTTTTGGTTTAACATATTATATAATATATTTATTAAAAAATTATTTTTATTTATTTAAAATTTAAAATAAATAAATTTAAAAATATAATCATACATATAAAATTTAAGAATTGATTAAATTATTTATATTTATATTATATTTTAATAATTAAATAAAAATAAATATTAAAAAATATACTAAATCAAGTGCATATTAATCATTTTCCATTCTAATTATTGGTGCGGTAACAATGTTGTTGGGATCTTAATTTAGACTCTAATATATAGTTAAAGATAATTCTAGTGTTAAGCTATGACGTGAATCATGACAGAACCAAGGGGGCTGAGGGGTACAGGCCACTCCCTAAACTTTTATAAAAAAATGTAGTATTCCTATTATTTGCGTTGTTGAAAATTACTTTTTAATGATAAAGAGATTAATGAAAAAAATAAAGATAATATCAAATATAGGAAAAAGAAAAATAAATTGAATAAAAATTATTTATTATTATTTTTTTAAAACATTTGTTCATTAATATCTTTACTTTTTCTTCCTTTATTTATGGTATTTTTTTTCTACTTAATATAAGTTTATTTTTATCTTTTAATTGTTAGTGTTTATAGTACATTATCAACTACTATTAATTTATTGTTAAAAGACTAATAAACATTATTTAAAATACTTTTTGCTTTTTAAATTAACACACAAATCATTATTTTTTTGGTTAAAATTTTATTTTGCCTTCTTAAAAATTATTTTACAACCGCTAACATGAACTATATGTTTTTGAAAATATTAATTTTATTTGATTTAATTGTTAAAATAACTAACTATAATTATTAGTTATTTATAATAAAAATTTAATATTTATTGTTAAATATATTTAAAAATTAAATTTTCAATCATCATAATTAATTATTTTAAAAAAAAATTATAATGCACCTGGCAATAACCACGCACGCACCCCCATTACCCTCTCTATCCTCTTCCTGGTAAAATTTAAATTAAAAACATTTCCAAAAAAATGAAATCTTATGTGGTACAGGGTACATTGTAATCTGTCTTGGAGATTTCACTGAAATTAGATCAATCTTTAATAGTAGTTGTCTGGTTTAGATTCTTCAAAACCATCCCATCCATCAGTGTGTGATTGGTCTCTTCACGAAAGGAGGCTGTCTACCACAAATGCTGTTGTACAAGGTCCTAGGTTTCTAATGGCCGCTCCTTTTCTAGTTGCTTATTCAGGTTAACAACACATCAACTGGAGTACTGGATGACATGATCGATCTAACCTTTCGTGGCTAACAGAAAAGCAATTTTCCAGCTAAAAAGCAGAAAAGAGTATTGATAAACTTAATTGTACATCACTTCCTGTTTGTTTGATGTTTTCGTAACCCATTTTAGTTAACTTGTTAGAATAGTCTGGAATTATGCAGCTTAAATTCTGTGTTGTAAAATACAATCATAATATAAGTGATTCTCCCACCCGGGGGATCTATCATGTCTGGCTAGCTTTGTAATGAGATTGAGAGTAGTGAATTACATGTGCTGGGGGAAGTACAGAACAAAGCTGTTTGTAAAATTAGTACATCTGTGACGTGAAGAAGGGAAGGAGAGTAAAAAATAAAAATTGTCAATTCTTGGTCTTGGTCGGTCTTGTATGTATGGGAAAGTAAACTTAGAAAAGCCGACACCGACACTTCCCCCATACTAGACTCCATGGGTGAAAACTCTACCGTGTATTTTTTAAGTCCTTTCATTTCCTTTGTCATCTCATCTCACATTTCTTAGTCAATTCTTGTTTTTGACCTGTTCTTACTCTGTTTCCGACCCTATAAAACGTACGGTGACTGTTGTGTTGATGCTTCTTTTTGATAATTGTTGTGTTGATGCCTTGATGCTTTAAACCATTGTTGAATTTGAATAAGAAGATATATATTTAATAGTATGTTTGGATTAAAGAGAATAAAGAGTAAGGGAGGAAGGAAAAAAAAATTTTTATTTGTTATCAAAATAATTGAAAATGAAAGGAATAATTTTCTTTACTTGTCTTTTAATTAATTTATTTATTTAACAAAAAAAATGGGAGACGATTCTCTAATTCATTTTCTTTAACCTAAATATACGATGGAGGAAAAAAATGTTGTATAATTTAAATTATATAAGATTATATAATATTAATAATTGAATAGAATTAGGCCCCTTAATATTAGAGATTTTCTCCTATTCAATAATTTTATTTTATAGTTTAGTACTAATTACCTATTTAAAATTTTA